GTTTGTCTGTATCGCCGGGTAATACATTTGCCTAATGACCTCCGGCAGAGAACAAGCACCCTACAGACCAACATTTTTATTCTTTTACAGTAGCTTAGGCTGCACCTTCAAGTCTTGGTTAAATGCCAGACATGGATGACTTTTTACTAGTACAAGCCCATGCTATACTATTATTTTTACCTCTTCATGCTTTGTCCAAACTGATATACTTGATCACAAAAAATAGGGCTGGTAGATGCTGTTTATATGATGAAAATGGGTAATTTTAGTCTGTTGCTTGGTGGTTGATTGGCACCATGATGGCGTCATCACATCATATGTCATTTGTGGATATAAATGATGTTGTCATTAATTTAAAATAATAGGGTGCTTTCATCAGGCATTTTAGGTGCAGAAATACTAAAGTATGTGCCAGATTAGTTGCTCAGCCACTGGTCCAGAAGGAGCTGGTAGAGAAAGACAGACAGATTTCATGTATTATAGTAAGATTTCCACACCACTACCAGGAAAATACCCTGTGCTGTTTTGTTACATGGCTAATGTGGGTATAATTATGTGCCCAGAGGCCAAAGTTATGTCAACATTTTAACAGCAAGGGGCAGAAACTGGGGAAAATTTAAGACCAATTTTAAACCAGTAAACAAGGACTGTAAGGGAGTTGGTTTGTTTCCATGTTGCCTTTTTTTGCTGCAGTGCAGCCTAAGCACTGCATTTCTTATTGGCATTTCATGATAAACATCCAACATGCAGGTCTTTGAGAAAATGGTAAGGGCATCCAAACAGTGTCTTCTGTTGCAGGTTCTCGTTATTTGCCTGATTCTGGTTCTGGCTCCACTGGCTGATGGTTACTCGTGTTCTCATGAGGTTTACCGTTCGCCAACAGTAGTCTTTTGCCTTGTTGTTTGTTCCAACCATGCAAGGCAAACAGAACTTTTCTGAAAGGTGGTCTGAAAGAGACTGTGTCTAGAATAGAGTTGCATACAGAGATAAAGCAACAATGTAATGTTTGGGTGAAAAATGATCTATTTATGGTTGTGGACCTCTAAAATGGCATTAGACATCTTATTATGATGATTTGAAGCCATTTGTTTCTAGCTGTTTTTGTACCATTGCCGCGCCTTTAATTTGACTAAAATGAAAGCATCAACACCAACATTGTCAGTATGTGCAGATGTGCACATTGGTGCATTTGTCTACCTGAGTGTAATTGGTTGGTTTGGTTTCATTTTGGTTATGATGATTGAAATGTGAATGTAGAGGGCCCTGCGGCATAAACCACACCAGCTATTTAACCCACATGCGCACCACTCCCACTTGCATCATCTCACATATGCAGTCACTACCAATGCACGAAATCTCATGGTTAGCCAGATACTATTGATTTATCTGGCCTCACCCAGTGTGTAACTCTTAAAAATGTAAGAATTGTCTTTCTTTGGAAGGATCTCACCTTCCTACTTTCACACTGTCAAATCTCTGAGCATCATACTTGTAATATTTCAAGTATTGCTATGTAGCCATGTATGGATAAACCATTAATGCTAAAAAAAGATGATCTTGGATGGTAGTATCCTCTGATAGATGTATGTAGTGCTACTAAAGCTATTTAGAGTCCAGTACTCAAGAACTCTGGCAAATTAAAGTAACATTTGGGCTTGGTTTAGATTTAGTTGCTTTGATTTCTTTTCCATAATTATTTTTTTAAAAATAAATATTTGACATTGCGCTCCCTTGCTGAACATTTTTTCTTTCTTTGTGTGACAGGAGTGTCTCCAACAGCTAGTGATGATGCCTTTACCAGATGTGCTGATACTGGGCCGGAACCCCCTCTCTGGTAAGTCTTCATTATACAGACTGACGGTCTGACCCGTCCTGTGCCGGTTTTAACTTGACTCTAGCTGAGTGGCACTGGTAGTAAGTGCATTGCAGGCAGTTCACTAAGAGGACATTCATCATTGCAGAGCTCCCCAAACTTCATCAGAATGCAAATTTAATCCTGTTAAAATTATCCAGTGCTTTGATGTTTCATGTGTGCTTTCTCTTTTCTGCACAATAATGAGCTGTTAAATGTTATTCATAACCCACGCTGAATCGAAACTGAACAGCAGAAAACGAAAAATGTTGATTATATTTTTGCAGCGATGTGAAGTGGACCAATTATAGGTTTCACAATCTTTCTGCAGCTCTATTCTCAGAAAGCGTTGTGAAAACTTGTACACACATTTTCCACCACAAGCAAGTCGCCCACGGCCACATCTGTAGAGTTCTATTACCCAAAGTGTTAAATTCATTTAACCCCTTGGCATCAAGGCTTTGACCTGGTGCTCCCAGCTATGCAACTTAATACGTCTTGGTCGCCTTAAAAGCAACAATCGTGCAGAGTCAAGTGTTCGAACACCATGATAATATTTTATGTAGCTTGACCTGTCCAGCCCTAAGTGCCAACTTGATACTCCAGCATGAACTTAAGAAAGCCACTGAGGAGAATATAACTAACAGCATGTCATCATTTAAGATTATGCCGTAGTGGATGCAGAAATACATTTGTATTAAAATATATCATTTGGGGATGGTCGTGTTCAGCCAGTGTAGATCAGTAGACACACAAAAGATCATTGGATTGGTTGCTCTACATTGGGAAAACAGTATCCACGCAAAGGTTCAGAGCTTTTGTGTAGATGTCTGCAACTTTAATCATGAGCTCTTCAGTGTATTGTTTCCAGGCTCAGGTCACAGATCTTGCTGAAAGATCTGTACCATTTTAAATACCCATCCTCCCCCAGCTGCCTTATCATACGTTCATCACAGCAGTTTGTTATTTTTGGGTTTTCAGCACTCTTTAGTGGTCAAAATTACCCTGTTTAATTCTCATATGCCCCTACTAGCATGAAAGATAAATAAATGAACAATAAGAGGCTGCAAGTAGTGAATACTTTTGTGTATGGATCACTGGCACCAGATTTCATAATTGCTTTTATTTGGTGTTTATTAATCCTTGTCAGCCCCTGTCTGTTTGTTTGAATACATCACTGCCATTTTCACAGCACCTTGGCAGTCTTTCACAGCATCACGCAGCAGCCTTTAGAAGTCCTGAAGGAAATATTAAGAGGATACCGAGGCCGACCCATTGCACGAGTGGAGTGAAGCTCCGTGCAAGTGGGCCAGACCAAGCAGGAAGACTTCACTCATCTAGTGCTTTTTACCTTGTAGCTCATCAGATAATCACTCAGCAAGGCAGCAGCCAGTCAGACCAGTGCTAGCTGTGGAGCTTGGCTCGCTGGCTCAGTGACTGCCAGCTGAAAGTCATTGGCCATGTGGCTTTTATTATGCTCCCATTAGGGGGGCAGGGGACAGCTCTCCATGTGTGTGAGTGCGTGCATGTGTGTTTGGTGGATGGGGGAGGGGTGTCTTCACAACAGTGAACAGTGGGAATGCACTGTAGTACCCCCCTCAAGGCTCTGGTTTAACCCTAGCTCCCCTTGCATAAACATGCAGGGTTATATGTACAGACAAACACTCCCTTGTGCACGCAAGTAGTGTCTGGTCAGTACGGTTATGTGCACATGTCAGAAAAACAGAGTAGCTCCTTTGTTTAGTCTGTTTTAAAGTCTGTGAATTATCATCACTAATGTCTTAGCTAATCTATAGCTGCTTTCCTTGGGCAAATTGAGTGGCCTTTTATAGTTATAATCCTCTTTTCATCACTCCTACTAATGGAAAATGCTATTCACTGACAGCAGCCAAAAACAAATCTGATTGAGTCATCATCAGACAAAATGTAAAGGTAAATTTCGCCTTGGCAAACAATTAGTGGAGTGTTTTTGGACTATTTCTAAAACCTACAGTATGCTCCCTTATACTGAAGAACTCCATAATCTGAAGCCCTCTTTAACTCTATGCTGGAAACTTCTACGTAAACTACGAGAAATTACATACATCAGATGTAGTACCATGGACCGTTGCAGTGTAGGCATAAAAGTAGTTTCCGGTGACATCAGTTAGGAAGTGGATTTCCTTGAGAAGTCTAAATCAGTATTGATCACAGTGCTTTGGCTGTCCTCACTGTATAGGAGCACTCATTTTGTGGAGATGCACGTTTACCTCTGTTTGTGTCACCCACTGTGTATTTGTGTGAATTTCCTGTCTTTGCATAAGATTTGAAATAGGACTTTGCTTCACCATGTGCAAAAATGCCTTATATAGTGTAAATATTTATTTTATGAATTAATTAAGCATGTGGATGACACTGGTCAAAACCTGCCATTTTCCATAAACAAGAAAATCTGATATGAAAACTGAGGAAAAAAGTTCTGCCTATTTCTACTATGTTGTGGTCAGTTGTGCGTCTATAATAAGCAGAGTAGATAGAGAGGAAACCAGTGTTGGGTTAGCTCTGAGAGCTGAGGGATTGGTGGCTATTAATATATATGGGTAGCCTGCCTGAATAAAATCTATGTGCAGGAAATGCTGGGTAAAGCACAATTGCTCTAAAATGATCTCTAAGTAAGGTTTAGTCAGCTCTGCCCTGTCCTCTGCTCCAGTGAGATGGGTTGAATAGACTCTGGCACCTTGTCAAAGCAATATCCTATTGCATGTACCAGTATTATTAGTGACATGCATGCCATTGGGTCCTGACAGAGCTTGCATGGAAGTACACAATTCTGTTTTTCCTCATAATTGACTCACATCCTCCCACACACTGCTGTGGCATTGCAGGAAGAAGGGTTGGTAACTGTCCTTCTGACCTTTTGTTTCCTGCCTAAAGGATAAAAGAGGGAGGAGGGAAAGGTGGTGAAAAAGGAAGCCTAGATGAGTGTGCTCAGTCTCAGAAGGTGCAGATCATCTATAACAATGTTAGAGGATGGAAGGAAGGAAGGATGGGTGGATGTGTGTTGCAAAGAATAAATGGGTGGATGAAGTGATTGGATAGGAAAGGAGGAGGAGAGTGATGGAGGACAAAAAGCCAGCAGAGATTGAAGGCTACCTCTTTGCTGCTGTTGCTGCTGGAGGAAGATTTCTTTCTTTCTATTTTCAACCTTGCCTCTTTGCCTTCCTCCTGCTCTCTGTCTCTTTTGGTTTCTGTGTTTCTATATTCTTCCCTTGTGTTTGTGTTGCTTGTGCGCTGTGGTGCTTTCCTCCTTTTGTGTCTCTTCCTTTCATCTCTCCCTCTTTACCGCTTCTCGCTCTTGTTCTCTCTCTCTCTCGGTTGCTCTCTCTGATGGTATAAATTATTTATCCTATGAGGCCCCTTATCTTTCCTTGGTTGCTTCAGTCGATTTGCTGAGCTAAATCCCTTCCCTGACTAGAATAGGTTCCTATGGCTCTAATAGACTATTGTTAAGCCCAGTGGCTCTGAGAATTAGTTTTATCTGTCACCCTCCTAGGCCCAAATTCACTTTTTTGTGTGCTTCATAATGAGTGACTGACTAA